GTCCCTGCTCCCCCCCCCCCCCCCCCCCCCCCGCAATTGTTCTGGCTCTTTTTCTTTTTAAATGAACCCACTCTAAAATGCAAAACTATGGGAATCACTACCTAGTACAATTATTGGTGGGGTTCTTTATCTTTTGGAAACTCTTCTCTTCCCTGTTTCCTTCTCCACCCACTCCTTTCTTTCCTTTACTTCCCTGGACCTCTATCTCCTTCCTTTATTTCTCTTCTGTTTTTCCTCCTTCTTTTCTGCATCTCTAGTCCATGGGCACCACCCAAATCCATTGGCAGCCATGGCCATGCCACCTCTCTTGAAATAATCCATAATACAGATTTTTATCCAGATGTAACCAAAACAATGATTAAGTTACATCTTGCTTAATTATACCCTCTTCCCTTGTTGAATAACAAATCACAATATGCAGGTTGAAATGTAATCATTTTACAAGTTCAAAATAATATTTGGGTTTATGATAACCACACTTTTCATTTCCGTGAAACATAAACTAAAGCATGATTCAAATTGATTTACATAGCTTAGTACATACAATTTGAATCCTACTCATTTAATCTCCAAGTACATGCAAATCTGGGCTCCTCCTCTTGCCCTCCCACTAAACCCTGTTATTACTGGCCTGAGGGTGTCAACCTGTTACACGTAGACAGGGTATAGATTTGTACTCCAGTATACATGGCATCAAATTCAGGCTCAATAAACTGAAAATTTTCACACCATCGGGGAATCAATACTTACCAGTATATTCCCTAGAAAGGCTCTCCTTATTTCATACCATAAATCAACCACAATTATCAAGGATTCATTCCTTATAACCACATCATCCTTTTGCAGACACATTTTATGAAGGAAAATAAAACAAAACAAAAAAATACTCTTTCATTCCCTTCTGTGAACATTTAAAAACAAATAATGAGAACCTGATGTCCTTGAAGATGTTAATATTTCAAGCTATTGAATGTAGGCCAAACACTGTCCTGTTATGAAACATCTCACAAAGTAATTAACGACAAGAAGACAGTTTAAACACTCGCTTCATTCATTTCCTTTAAGTGGGGTACACTAGCTGACACAAAAGGAAAAAGGAAGGTATCATTTATGAACCCAAATAAGTTGTCAAAAATAGGGTAGAGATAGTTATGCAGCCTCTGACAATTTAATAATTATGTGTAAAAACAGTGAAAAAAAAAGTCTTCGGTTTAGTGTTAGTAGCAGAAAGTTTACTAACTGGTTTTCATACTTTGATTTAGGAGCCTATTTAATAATGTAAAATTATATGTGAAGGGTACCAAAATTGCAATAAAGTCAACATATTTATAAAAATTTTTAAATGGGTCTATTTCTCTTGAAAATCGGTTTAGTGTTAGTAGCAGAAAGTTTACTAACTGGTTTTCATACTTTGATTTAGGAGCCTATTTAATAATGTAAAATTATATGTGAAGGGTACCAAAATTGCAATAAAGTCAACATATTTATAAAAATTTTTCTTCAATGGGTCTATTTTTCTTGAAAAGAAATTAACTAAGGAGAATCAAACAGCTCTATAAGATGATCAAAATCCTATGTAGGGACTGAGGACCACCATATGGCATCTCTGTTTCTTTGCTGGACTCCCATATAGCCAACTGTGGTTCAAGTCCTGGACCTGGTGGCTTGAAACTCATGCTGGGCATGTGCATGCATGCCCAAAATCCCAGAAGGAGAATGAAGGAAAAGGGATTGCAGCATGGCCATCCTCCTGAGGGATGATTTCTCCCTTTCCCTGTACTCCTCTCTGCTTCTCTCTTGGGAGCACACATGCCCTAAGGCAAAACTTAAAAAGTAAATAAATAAATAAATAAAAACTATATAGGGACAAACAGGCATGTGAAAAATGACCTTTTAATTGGTAAAGCTATACCCAACTTATAACAAGAACTTGAATGAATTAATTATCAACCAGGAAGTTAAAGTTTTACATAGATGATAAAACCTAGATTTACAAAATAGCACTGACTAATGAACAAGGAGTGTTCTAATATTCCTTATCTGATGTTTTATCAAGTCTTCGAATGAATAATTCTTGTAAGCTTGTAAACTGGCCAATTCTATGCTGGGAGACTGGGAATAAAAATGATCCTGTATGCAGAATTTCAACCTATTTTCTTGCAAATTGCACTTACAACCCATGCTGGGAGACTGGGAATAAAAATGATCCTGAATGATGAATTTCAGCCTATTTTCTTGCAAATTGCACTTACA